TGTCTGCTTTACCATCTGTTATGAATGATTTAGATTCTTTAAGCTCAGAGTTCTCCTCCTGTAATACAACCCACTGCATTGGCATACACCCATCCTGCCCTGTGTGCATTGCCTTCATGAGCCTTGGGAGCAAAGAGAATCTACAGAGCCTTGTTACAGCTGCTTGCTTTGCTGTAATAGAGTCCTCTGTCTCTGACCCACGTAGCTCATGTCTTACGCCAGCACTATACCATGCGGGGGGGGGGGGGTTCACTTGCAAGGAGTGTAAAATCATAGCTTTTTGGTTCTTGGCAGAAGTATAGCAGACAAGAATGTTTATTTTATTATGTAGATAAATCAGCATAAAAATGGGTGCTTATGGAAAAATAAAGCACCCATTGGATTTTTACCAAGTAGGTTATCTTACGATCCAGAGAAAGTCAAAAAGACAGAATTCTGGGTAGGGTCTCCCCAAATACTTAGCTAGGCTACTGGGGACTGGGTTAAGTAGAGCCCTTTCGATGGTCACGTCCTCAGGATGTTCATTGTGAAAGCAAAGCTTAACAAACGATGGCCTGTGAACAAAATCTGGTCACCATCTGTTTTAGTAAACACTGTCTAGCAATGATCTAAGGTTGCTTTGCACTACAATGGGAGAATTGAGTGACACAGTAGAGACCATATAACCTGCAGAGCTTGAAACAGTTACTATCTGGCTCCATGAAGGGACTCCAAAGGAGACATGACATGAGGAGCAGAGAATTCCCATAGGACATGCCCAAAGCAAATGGAGCAAAACAGTATGTGCTCATAGAAAGCTATAGCCACACACACGTGTGCATACACACATGCACACACACCTCCAGCCCATATGCACACAGTATTTATTTGCACAATTAGAAGCTTGGCCTCTGGAGCTGCATTAGGTTCAGATCTAAGGCCTTGCCACTTGCTGGCTAAATGATCTTGGCTAAATTACTTAACTTCTCTGTGCCTTCATTTTTGTTCTTATTAACTGTAACATCGCTGGAGTTCTGTGAGAATTAAAACTGCATAAAATAACCCTCCAGTGCAGAATAAACAATATATAAGTATTTATTATTATTTATTATCACTTTCCAGAAAAGTAATGTGAGTAAACTCTGAAGATAGGGTAAGTAATTTTTTTCAACAGCTAGATAAAAAGGAGAAGCCAAGTTACTCTCAGCACTGATTCCAACACCTGGGATTTTTCCTACTGTAATTATATTACCTCTCAGTAATAAAGTCTTATTGAACTTATAAATAAAATCACTACAATAAAATTTCTTTACCTTTTTTCAACAATACTTTTATTTCTAAAATTCCAATTCATGGTTCATTTACAGGCAGATCCTACAGGCCTCATTGCTATCTGTGTCCCATCAGAGCTTTATTTGAATGTGCTGTACCAAATAGTTGTACCCGACACTTGGGATGACTACTTTTGGAAGTGAAGTCCATATTTATTATTAAACTAACTGTGTCCATGACTTTTAAAATTAAAAGCCTAAGCAGAGCACTTGCTAGTAATCTATATAATACTCAAGTCAGTTTCAAAAACGAATAGTATTTTTAACTCTAGAGGCTGAAGCAAGAGGACTGCAAGTTCAAGCCTAGCCTGGGTGATTTATCAAGACCCTATCTCAAAACAAAAAATACAGAAAGGCCTGGAATGTAACTCAGTTTGAAGGCTTTCAATACCAACTACTACAAAAGGAAAAAAAAAAAAAGTACTTGTAAATACTAATCTCTAAATGAATTGACACTAGGAAAAAATACTCCAAGAACAGTGATATTTTCCACATAGTCTCTAACTCACTTTTAAGTTGAATTTAAAAACATAGTGTGCATTATAGACTTTGAATGTGGCTAAAATGCACCATTCCACAAACCCCTCCCCACCTGTCATCTCCAGATTCCTGCCTTCAGGGGATGCATACTATGGTGATGTATGGCTGAGAAACAAATAAAAATTTAGTTTCAATAAAAAGGAAAGGCCAGGATCCATATGATTGTTCATATTCCTTTGAGTTTCCAGGGAAGCATTTTTCATGGATGACAATGCTTTCTCACCAGCAAGGGAAAAATACTTCTGAAATCTGATGCCCACTTACTGAAAGGACAGAGCAGACAAATCTTCATTACGGTTCCTGCTCAGAGACTTGAGCCACAGATTCTATTCACCTGTCCATTCCTCCACTTAATTACTATTTCTAAAGTTACATATGAATTTTCATGAACATGAATTTGGATGTCCAGAAGTGAAACTCTTGATTTATGATTCTGACTGAACCACAGCTACAAGAACCCCTGCACACACAGTAGTTGCCAAGGCTTTGAGTTTGTAAGCCATAGTCAGGATTGGAACTCCACTCTCTGTGGTTTCAGACATCACCCTCATATTGTCTAGATCTGATTTTGACTATATTATACATTATCCCCAGTCAAGCACTTAGTCCTGTAGGAGAAATTTAGAATATTCTTCTCGTGCTGCAGCAACTGAGGAGGTTACAGATTCCATATAGCACATTGAAGTCTTAGACTGTTTTATGATGCTGTAACAAAATACTTGATGTTGGGTAATGTATAAAGAAGAGATTTGGCTCATGATTCTAGTGGCTGGAAATCTAATCACTATGGTTTTTGAACCTGGCTGTGTCACTACATGGTGGGCACCACCACATGGCAAGAGAGCACGACAGAAAGAGACAAGAGAGGACAGCAACCTGGTGAGAAGGGGTGGGGGAAGTCTTCTGTTTTTTGTTTTTGTATACACAAATTTCTCTGAGGAAGCTAAGCCACTCCTGTGAGACCTAACCCACTCCCGGACACCAGCATTAATCCCTTCATGAGGGTGGTCATGACCCAGTCAGTTCTCATCAGGACACGTCTTTTAATGGTTCCACCATCTCTTGCACTATTACACTGAGGATCAAGCTTATGGCACAAGAATCATTGGGAAACAAGCCATACTCAGACCACGCCCGCTTCTGTGAGACTGGGCCTTGAATGGCTGTGTGGAATTGCATTTGCATTGTTTTGTGTTAATTTGCATTTGACATGTAGTATGATGAAAACTTTACACTTAAGTCATTAAGGACTAGGGATTGATTATCATCATAGAAATGCATAACTGTCTTCATCTATTTTCCAAGTAGATTATCTTTTTCTTAGTGATGTATAGATCTTTCCTTATTAGGACATCTACATTTTGTTTGCTATAATTTTCTCTGCCGAGTGTAATTGTTCCCAGTGTATTTTGCTGTTGAGAATTTAAAAGTTTTATATACCTAAACATATCATATATTTTCTTTTATAGCTTCTCTTTCTTGTCTTCCCACAAAGAAAGGACCTCCCTTTGCTAAGATTACAGTTTTCCCAATTCCATTTATTGAATAAGCTATCATTTTCCCACTAGGAAGAAAAAGAAAAAAAGCTACCTTTATCAGGTAAGTCCCACCTACATATTTAAATCTGTCTGGAATCATACTTTTTTATATCTTTACCATGCTAATTTATTATTTTCTGCTTTGTAACAAGCTTTTGATAGGTGATAGAATCAATTCCTTTACATTATTCTACTTCAAAATATTCTTGGTATTTCATTCTTCTAGATACATTTGGCTGTCTACCTGTCAAGTCCAGGAAAAAATGAGCTGGGATTCTAATGGAAATTGTACCAACTGTGTACGTCACTATGGGGAGCACTGAGATCTTTCTCCTGCAGTTTCCCATCAAAGAGCATGCTGTGTCTCTGCTGTGTCTGTTCACATTCCATTAAACTTTTGTAGTTTTTTCTTGCATATTTCTTGTTAAATTTTTTTCTAGTTACTTCATACCATTTGTTGCTATTGCAGATGTATTCTCTTTTTATAATTGGCTATTAAAATTTTATGGCTCCACATTTAACTGGTAAAACAGCATAGATGAACTTCAAAGACCTGTCTGAGAACGCAATTTAGACTCTTCCTGTTGAATAATTTTGTAGAACTTAGTTGGGAGAGTCATTATGCATAATTGTCTCAAAGATGCAAAAGTAAACAGGAGGACAAAGTGTCTTTGTCATGCACTGGATTAAAAAGTGGAATCTGACTAGCATTTATTATAGCAGCTCTGCCTCAAACTCTTGGCTAATTCCACTTTGACATTAGGCCATTTGGCCATGAAAACCCTCTTCAGGACTAACTAGTTGCTTTTTAAAAACATTATATTTTATCATCTCTATTAATCTCTTGGTTTTTATTCCTTCTGAGAAACTGCTCTGTATTTTTTAGAACCTTTGGGGTTTTTTTGTGGTGCTGGGATCAAACCTAGGGCCTCATGCAAGTTTGGGAAGTGCTTTACCACTGAGCAAAACCCAGCTCCTAGCACTCTGTGTGTGTGGTGGGGGGGCGGGGGGGGGTACTGGGGACTGAACTCAAGGCCCTGCACTGAGCTACATCCCCAGCCCTTTTGCTTTGTTTTGAGACAGAGTCTCGCTAACCTGTCCAGACAACTTGTAGTTCTGCTTCAGCCTGCTGAGTAGGTGGGATTACAGGTGTGCACTACCATTCATGACTGCTTAGAACTATTTTTAACTTAAAGAAGTATATTTAAAGAGTGATCTTATTGATAACTTTAAGCATGAACAAAAGAATGTTAGAAAGGAATCTGAATACTAAAGGACATCTATAAATGTTAAACTGTCAATACCTTTCTCAGTGAGAGAAAGATCAGGCAGCTGAAGCCATGAAAAGCACACCGAGTTTATTTAATCAACTGTTCCTAAAGCATTGTGGGCATAAAGGAGGACAGTGACAAGGCAACAGCGTTGTCCTGAGAGCAGCAGTGAGTTTTGGGTGCAAGATTTCTGAGTGGCAGATATACCCTTTAGGAGACGTGGGTTAGCTCAACCATAGTAACCTTCATTCATGAGAGGGACAGTGACTATAACCATATAATGACCCAACAAAAGCCTGAACTCATGCATGCATCTGAAATCAGAAGCAAATACACCCGAACATGTCTAATGCTTTTATTTAAAGGAATAAAATCAATTGGCAGACTTAGTGCACACAGTGAGACACTTGTTTCCTTCATGCTCCTTTGACAGTTTACAGAAACTGGTACAGATTGGCCTCTCTGCTTCCCAATTTCATAAGTCCCCCAGGATGGAACATGAGGTCAACGATGTAGACATCTGGTGCAGGGAGGCCCCCAGTCACCCCCTTCCGAGACTGGTCCAGCAGCTTCACCTCGTTCCACGCACGGCCGTACTCCCCTCGCACTACAGAGGAGCCGATACCGATTCTATCACCCAGAGCCTAGGGGAGGAAATAAGAGAGCACAAGCAGGGTGAGAGGGAGAAAGATTTCTAGTTGTAAAACTTGCCTTGGCTGAAGATGAAATAGACACTTGCGCAGAAACACTCAGACAGGAGGCTGAAACACAGGGATTACTGCAATAAGAGAGGTCAGCTGTGAGAAGCATCTGGTTCCTCAAGACTCTGAAGCTTCACAGCCCCTGTGGGTCCTGCTGGGAAGGCACAATTTTCAGGCAGTTGCACCACACTGAATCCGTGTGACAGATGGGGGGGGGCAGTAGGGCAAATCTATTACGTGGGCTCTCTGCCCTTGTGTGTCTGTCAATCTCTCCACTTGTCCCTGCTGCTCTTTGGCTGTGACATGCAAAGGGATGAATGGACACATTAAGTCGGTGGGGACCTACTTCTAGCCAGTTTATTCTAGACACTTGCTGTGGCACAGGAGAAGCAAAATTTTAACTGGTTCCTCCTGGTACTTCTCGCTGCTACCTCACCATAAGTTCCTTGGATATCAACTCTTTAAATTGCCCTGGTTTCTCCTGATTATGGGTTTCTTTTTTTTTAAGTGTATTTAATCTGGAAACTTCTCAGCCACATGATAAGAATTTAAAAAGCAAGGTCACATTGTCTAGGTTTAAATGTCAGCTAACCAACCACTCACCACAAGCAAACAACTCAGCCTGTCTGTGCTTTCCTTTCATCTTCAGTGAAACAAGGACATTATTTCCTTCGTCATTAAGTGTTTATAAAGATGAAGTGAATTAATACATGTCAAATACTAAGTACTAAAGAGAACCAGAGGCAAGAATTGTGTAGTTTGAATAATCTGTAAATTCATTTAATTCAGCCCATTGCTTACTACATAATAGTTGCATCAAGTTGCTTTGGGAGATCAAGATATTTAAGACATGGTTGTACTTTTCAGGTTGTTGTACTTTGTAGGACTCTTATGTTCCAGTCAGCCATAATGCAAACTGTCAGATCATATGGCCCACATAGTCCAGTGGATACAGAGACCAAAGAACACATACGACTGTAGCATATTGGTATGGTTTGTATCTAGATGACCCCTCAGAACTTCATGTAGGCTTTATGGAGGGGGCTGAATCTAGAATAACAGGAACAGAAAGAGGGATGCTACTGTTGCCTCTTGCTTGCTATTTTGCTGCTTGTTGCCTCTGCCCACCATGAGCTGTTTCTTCTCTGTGATGCCTCTCTGCCATGCCGCCCTGCCTTGGAGCCAGCCAACTATGGACTGAAACTTTCACAAACTCTGAGCCAAATAAACCTTTCCTCCTCTAACTTTGGGTGTCAGGTATTTTGTCTCAGCAATGAGAAAACGTATTTAAGACAGATGTCTTCCAAACTAACCTCTACTGATCTCTTATTCCTTGTCAAAGCACTTTAAATCATCAAAACAGCTCCATGGACTAGCTACTCTTCTTCATTTCATAGAGAGTAAAACTGAAGTCAGATATTCTCCCTAGGTGACCGTGTATGGTGATCTTAAGTGACAGCCAGGGCAGCTGTCTCCAGAGTCTGCTTTGCAACCTTTAGGGCAGAGTCTCCTAGTGAGCAAACCATGGAACTAATCAGATGGCTTCTGGAAGCCTCTATTCTTTCTTTCAAGTGGGACATAAAGTCATCTTCTTAGTGTGAAGAGGTATAGATCAAAGGGCCTAGAAGAAGGGGAGGTTTGGGGCACACTGTTGGGGAAAACCAGGAGCAAGTCTGTGACAAGGAGTTGGAAGAGGTCCACCTGAGTCTGGACACTGAGAACTGGCTGGGCCTCCACTTCCACTGGGCTCTGCATGTAAGAAGGGACAAGGCAGATTTGTTGCAATAGTTAAGGTGTCTACTATAATTCCTATGAGATGCTCAAATGGTGCTAGCTGGAGGGTGATCAGATACCACAGACCTGGAATCAGGAGGTTTGGGGAGAAGGGAAAAGATCTAAAACATTAGGTATCTCAGTCCTATTTCAGGCCCTGTGTAGAAAGACCTTACCTGTGGAGCACCTGGAGGAGATCAGAGGAGTGCCCGGGTCAGGACCTAAGAGAATCTCAATACTTAAGAGAGCTGGAGGAAAAGAGGTCACCAGAGGAGACTGAGATGACAGGCAAGAGAGAACAAACGCAAATGAAGGGAATGATGATACAGGAGGAAGACGACTTGTGACAAATTCTTTGACACATTAACCAAGACAGAAAATGAGGAGGTCACTGTGGTCCTTACTAAGAGGGTGGGAGTAGGACTCAGATGGCCGCGAGTTCAGGAAAAATGAAATGTGTCAAGGAGGGACAAGGACTTCCTATGACACATAATTTTGATCAGCAATAAAAATTATCTCTGGGCAGAGGCAGTGTGGTAGGTTTTGTTTATTCAGACAGCACGAATTGTTCCACCTCTGCTTGACCTTGGGTAAATTATTTTTCTAAGTATCAGTTTTCTTGTCTTTTAAAAACACGGGTGGTAATTTCCATCTTTGGCATTTTTGAGATTCTTTACAATTACATTTATCAAGTGCCTAGCACATAGCTCAAAATGATGACTGTCGAGATAACAGGAACTATTATAGTAGTTATAGATATTATGTGCAATATGTAGACATCAGTGTGTTTAGATATTAAAGACAGTTAGTGGAGAGAAAGAGATTTAAGACAGGACAGAAGGAAGAATCAATAGAGCAAGAAATCTAAGAAAACAAGAAAGGCACTGAGGTTATAAATAGAATCTGGGTGAAACTGGAAAGATACAAATACATGCAATGAGGTTTTTAGGTATTTGGGAGAAGGTCAGGATTTATATATTCTGTCTGTAATTTAGAAAGCTTTCCTCATTTTCTTCACGAACCAGATAGTGAACACGATGGAACAGAAGATCATCTCCTCTTTTGAACCTGATGCTTCTTGAGTGCCCATCTCAGCGAGTAATGCCACCCTCCCCATTGCTCCGCCCAGAGCCTGAAAATCATTCCATTCTCTCTCGACACAGTCGCTCGCACACATCTCAGCAGCCACCAACTCCTTTTGGTTGCATCTCTTAAATCTCCCTCTAAATTCTTCCCCTCACCCACAGCCGTGCGGCATGGCTTTCATCACTGCACATTATCCAGGCTTCTTGTGCCAGCCACCTTCTAATCGGTCTCCCTGTCTATGGTCTTGCTCCGGTTCTTTCCCCATTCTGTTACCTGAACAGTCTTTCAAAACCATGTTTCCCCTCCTCCCTTGACAACTGTTAGCGGCTACATTTAGACTTTAGGGTGATACTCAAACTCACATGGATGCTTCATGACTCTGGCTTCATTCAACCCTGCCATTCTCCATCCAGAAAATTTACTTGAATTCCTCAAGTGGACCACAACTCTTCTGCTTGTGTTACTTTGCATAAGGATATTTGGTCTCTTTAGAGCACGCTTGTCTTTCTTCTTTACCTGGTGAAATCTTACGTAGCCTCTAATACTCCCTTTTCTGAAATCTTCCCTGACATTACCTTGAAAGATGTCTGGCTGAGAAACTCTTGAGAACTAGGTTCTGTCACTTCACTGTCTCTGTACTTCCAGACCCTAGCAGAAGCCCTGTCTACTGAAAGTATATGATAAATGTTAAATGAATATGCTTCCAATAGTCTGGTGGATATATACATAAGTGGGTGTGTATATAATGCATGTGTGTGTGTGTCTAATGTAAGTAGATCTAAATAATAGGATTGATATCATCTAGGTACATGTTAGCAACTCACTTATTCCAAATTGATATAGAAAAAACATTTTAACTTATTGGAAAATAAGAAGAAAATTGTCTTGAATACTGTACCTTGAAAAGCAAAGCTCGATGGTAGAAGATTCCTTTTTTGATGTATCCAATTGGTATAACATTGGATTTAAGTTGAAATTTTAGTTCACTTATGTGAAGTTCCCAGCTGAAATCATGTAGTTTGTCTTTCGGAATCTTACCACCCATTTTTTCTGCCACAAATCTGTGTCAATTACATTAAGATAAAATCAATTGTGTTTAACATCTCATTCTTTATCAAGTTTAACATCTCACTTTGGATGCTTTTTGTTTATAATTATATGTCTGATAATATATTCTAATTTTATAGCTGCTTTACTCTAAAAAACACACTTGTAATATGTGATTAAACATTGTTTAATATACTCAAACCTGAAATTCTAGCAATTTCATTCAATGTGAAGATGAAAATCAACACTAATTTCCCAATACATATAGCAAGATATAAAAGATACAAATCAATATCACACTAAATATAAACATGATTTTAAATTTATCTTACTCTTGTATTTTTAAATGCCTTAATTTGAAATCCAAGTGCATTCTATTAACATAAGTGGTCTTTCAAGGAATTTAAACTCAGATGTAATAAAAATATAAATATTTCCCACTGGATTCCCAGTCATTTTCAAGTTTTATAATTTTATTTTCATTTTCATTTTATTTTATTTTTTGACATTTTATTTTTGATTATGGATATTTTATTTTTATCTTTATTTTTTATTTTTTTGACATGGTCCCACTGTTCCATTAGGGACAGGCTGGCCTCAAAACTCACAGCGATCCTCCTGCCTCACTCCCTGGCCCTCAAATGCTGAGATTATAGATATCCACCACCACATATCGTTCTTATTTAATTTCAGAAAAAAATGTTTTTTTAATTGAGAGCAAGACATGACATTCAGTGCCACTGCAAAGAGTGAGGAAGAGGAGTACCAAGAGACAAAAAGCAGGTCAGTGGTTAATGATGGGGAAACTTCCCTAACAGTGGGCTCTCACCAAACGCATTAATAAACACACCAGCAACAAACCTCTGTCAACTAAGAGACCCCATACTCTTGGGTAAAGGTAAACTTAAAAGAATTTCCTCTCGCTGCTCTATGAAGATCAGTAGTAAAAACCCAGGGAGTGATGAGTGGAGGAGAGGATTGCTGAGTGGCCTGAGCCCCATCCAGCCTGGACATGTGTATCATGCCAGGGAAGCACAGGCAGGGGCCTGGCTGCTGCCTCTCATCCCAGCCTGTTTCCTGTCTGTTTAAAGGGGAGGACAATGTGACAGAAATTTTAAAATTAACTAGCAGCCTGATAGCATACTGGGACAAGACATGCTCCTCCTGCCCACTGCCTGCCTGCCTGCCTGTGCCCAACTGCTTTTCATAGATAGCCTGACTCAGGTCTACCTGATCATGTCCTGCTGCAGTGTCCATGCTTTCCCACCTAAAAATATATTCTGTTTCAAATATATTTCAAGAACTTTCTACCTAGCAACAGATGATGACTAACCTGACCCAATGAAAGTTAACCATGCTCTCAAACTTTTGTACTTCCTGCTTGCAAACCTATATAAACTAAGCCAAAAAGCTGTTGGGGCCTAGTGATTTGGAGCTGAGTCCCACAAGCTGCCAGTGTAATAAACAGTTACTTTCCAAATCTTTGGTGCAGAGCATCTTTCTTTTGGTTCAGTACCAGTTCTGCAACATTCTTGGTTCCCTGACCCAGAAGACAGTGTGGGTCACTGTGGAAGACCACTTGGGTCACTGATGGAGGCCTGCTGGCCACTGTGGGAAGTCACCCTGCAGCCAATGATGAGAAGGACCTATTTTCCCAAAACTGATCAGCTCAATGGACTGATCTCCAGGCACTCATATAGGACCTACATTGGGCCAAAGACAAGAGTAAATATCTACAGTTTTCAGGTATACCTTTGCCATAGTACATACCCATGGGACATTAGATAGAGAATGTGACCTCTTTAAAAAATTGTATTTATTTTTTTGAAAATGTGGCCTTTTGACAGCCAAAAGAAAACAAATTAAATGCAAGGATGAAATCTCACAACTTTTAGCTGCTGTATGGAAACCTAAGAAGTTTGTCATCATACATTGCAAGAAACATCAAAAGGTAAAAGACACCCTAACCCTTCAAAACCAAAAGGCAGATGAAGCCACCAAATTGCAGCAAAAGAATCTACCTGAGGAGATAATGATTTAGTCTAAAATTTAAACGCTTTACATGAGATACTGCCAAAGACTGTTCTTAGTCTCCAGCAAGGATCTCCTCACTAAACTCAAGAAGAGATAAAATGGGCACAACAAGAAGCAGCCCAACAATGACCCAAATGGCACCTGGGGCCTACAAGATGATTGAATGATTTTCCCAAAGGAATTAGTCGACACCTGGGTAAAGCATCACCATGACATTACCCATGGAGGGAAGACGGCTATGGTTCAGCTTCTGGGTCAATACTATTATGTCCTAAAATTGACATTGATCTGTATAACCATTAGTCAAAGATGTCAAATTTATGCAATAACTAAGGCCTCAACAGGTCTTTGACCAACGCCTGGAATCCAACACACAGGACTTTTACCTTTCACAGATCTTCAAATAGATTTCACTGAAGTTAAACCACGTCAGATCTACAAATATTTATTGGTCCTTGTTTGCACTTCTTCTGGGTGGCCAGAGTATTACTCACCCACACTGAAAAGGCCTCTGAAGTATGTATGGTGTTACTGAGAGAAATTGCTAGATATGGGTTGCTCCTGACCATTGGCAATGATAATGGATCATTGCTTGCAGCAGAAATGACCAGAAATTAGCCAAGGAGCTAAAGATAAAATGGAATCTCCACAATGCCTATAGGTCCCAGAGTTCTGGCAAAGTTAAATAGATAAACAGAATCCTAAAGTTAATACTAAATACTACCGAGAAACTTAGGCACCATAGGTAGAATCGCTGCCCAAGACCCTCCTGAAAGTCAGGATGTCATCAAGGCCCATTGGACACACCCCTTTGAAGTTTTACTTGGAAGATCCCCAACTCTAATTAAGGACCTCCAAGGGGATCTATACCACTTGGGAAAAATCATTTTGTTCAGTTGTGAAAGACTTTCTCCTAGATACATAAAAATATAACAGAAAGGGCACACTTTCCCACTGACACACCTGCTCATACCCACAGTCCAGGTGATATGGTTTGGGTTAAAGACTGGAAAAAGGATTCCTTGTCCCCAATTTGGAAAGGCCCCTATATAATTATTTATTTTTACCACAGTAGAAGTGACAGAGATCCCATCTTGAATGCATCACTTCAGGATCAAGTAGGTCCATCCCAATGGTTGTGGGAAGGCCTATCTTGATGGATTGTGTTCCCTAAAGACCACCTTAAAGAGATAATACACTCGAAGCCTCCTCTCACCACTCCAGGGGTTGACAAGTCCATGCATAGCTGAAGACTGAGTGGATGTAATGCATCAGAGTACCTGCCTTAATTGACTTATGTTCTGTTATCCAGTGTGGTTATTAGTTCCCCTTCTCTTGTTCATCTTGGTGCTTACTGCAGGATTCTAGGCTGTATCCCCAAATGACTATAAAATCTGCAAAGTCACCTTCACTCTCTTTTACATTAGTGTAAAATTGGACTAGGTACCTTGAACCATTTTTCTAAGTTTTAACTTCAATATGCTGGTACTCAGCCTGGGTCCTAGTTCCTTATCTCCTATTAATTTCAAAGTTCACTTTCACTCTCTGTATCATAACTAATGACTGACTGGAAATCCCATAAAAAGGTTGCTTTTCTTTTTTTCCTACATAAATGTAGTTCTTGGGCTACTAATTTGGAGCTGCCTAAACCAAAATTAAAATGAATTCTCTATAGATAATATGTTTAAACTTACTTGGAGTATATGGAAAGGGAAGATATTGGGAGTCCTAAATCTACCTGTGGGAAACTCAGTATCTCTTCAACAGCACTAAATGGAATCCTTGCCAGATCAATGTGAACTTATACTTTGATGCCTGCCCCAATAGCCAGACTAATGAATATATTACAGCTGAGGTGACCTGAGTTGGGAAAGGGCTTACCAAACCAATGATAAATATGTTTGTGAAGGTTGGCAAGAACTCCCATTCCAAAAAAGCAATACCCCTTTGATAAGTGTAATAATATACACTCCTGGTACTGTAGTGTTTGGACCAGAAAGGAAAAACAATGGAATACAAATGTGGTGGGAGAACTCTCCTTACAATGAAAGATCAACTTTTACTCAGACCGTAGTCCCTTTAAATTACACAAAGGGCACCTATAATCCTGTCCAGTATCATGGAAATAACCCTAATAATGCCATCTGGATGCCAGACTGCACATTAGTTATTTGAGTAGATGCCGAGGTAAGGACCCAGCGATGTTAGTTCAAGTCCAGAAGGTTTGTATACCTACAATTTTAGTCCCTGTATCCGATCCTCCCCAGCCAGAGATAATACTACCAACAATTTCTCTCTACTTGCTCCAGACCTGTTACAGTTGGTTACTGGGATCATGCTGTCCTCGAACAGGTTGGTCCAGCCTGGGGCAGGACTGCTGGCTCTACATGCCCCTCACTACCCTGTCCTAATGAGCTCTAGGACTAACTTCAAATGCCTCAAGACTTAATACGGCCCAGTCCTCAGTAGACCTACTTCAAACCTCCCCAACCCAAATAATGGGAAATTCCACCTTCTTCCTAGGAAAGGGAGGCTCTCCCAAAGTGTCAATGAACTGTGCCTCTAATCCTGCTCAGTTTCTCACTCCAGGCTAGTGCTGGAACCTTCTTTATATGTTTTAATGGAGCCTATCATATGTTTTCCCCACAAAACATGAGCCTCTGCAATGTTGCCTTTCTTGGTCCTGGACCTCAACATCTACTTGGGCAACTGAGGGGCCCATCTCTCCCAGAGCAACACACAAAAATGAGACCCCATATTTCTGTCTATTCTAGCCAGCATAGCAATAGTGTGAGGCCTGGATATGAGGGGAACAGCCATCAGTTTGGGGCAAAATCAATATATACTGTTAGCCAACCAAATAATAGGAAATTCTGAAACTACACAAAGCTCCACTGACACCCTCCAGGAACAGACTGACTCTTTAATCATGATTGTTTTATAAAACTGATGGGACTTAGACCTCTTGATGGCCCAGCAGGGAGGTACTTGCCTTTTCCTGGAAGACAAATATTGCTATTATACCAACAAATCAGGAATGGTAAGAGAAAACTCCTGTCAGCTGTGGAAGCAACTCAAACAAAGGGCTAAAAATATGATGAACTACTCTTCCCAGTGGGGCCCCCTGGACTCTCTTCTCTTATGGATGGGAGCTTTGCTTGGATCTTTAATGGGTCTCCTGACCATCCTCCTCCTAAGCCCTTGTATGAGTCACATCCTGACTTGCTTTCTGACTGAACACATTCAGGTCATATATTATCAGCTCTTCTTAAATGTTACCCTCTTCTTATCAGATCCTTAAAACTAAGGAAGAAGAATATTCCTGATCATGAAAGAGGGGAAAATGTGACAGAAATTTTGAAATTTTAAAACTAACTAGCAGCATGATAGCATATTGGGACAAGATATACTCACCTGCCCACCACATAGCTAAACCCAGTCAGGCTTGGCTGATTGTGCCCATAGATATAGCCTGATCCAAGTCAACCTGACCATGCCCAGCTACAGTGTCTGTTTTCCCACCTAAAAATTATATTCTGTTTTTCTAACATTTCTACCAGCAACAGATGATGACTAACCCAACCCAACAAAAATTAACCACACTTTCAAGCTTTTGTATTTCTTGCTTTCAAATCTGTATAAAGTGAGCCAAAAAGCTGGCTCAGGGCTGCAGATTTGGAGCTGATTCCCACCAGCCCACCAGCATAATAAACAGTTGCTTTCCAACTGCTTGGTATCTGCATCTTCCTTTTGGTTCAGTACCGTTTCTGCAATAATAAGCTTGGGAGAAGTAAAAAGGACCTCCAATATGAAGAAAGCATGGGAGAATTTGACAAATGTTTTCAGGAGCTGAATCAGAGATCTGCTTGAATCATCATTCCTTAAGGACGACAGGAAAACTTTAGTTAACAAAAGTGCTGTTTTCCAGGCCTGGCCGACAAGAGTCAATGACCTGGCCACTCTGATACTTGCTGTTTTTACATCCAGGTCTGAGAACTGCTACTCACTTCTTCTTGGAGTAAGCACAGACTCCTAGGGAGACTGCAGTGGGTGCAGTAGCCAGCACTCTCCTATTCAAAGATAGGTGGAGGAGCAAGCCCTGGAGGATAGTTTCCAACCACTGGCATGTCCTAGGCCTCTTCCTAGTGGAATCAGCCTGATCCCTCTACTGCAGAGAGCAGCTTCATCATTCCTTCCATCCCAGCAGCCACCTCTGAAAATTCTCACACCTTATGTGAGAGCAAGGCGGAGCACAAAATACCAGACAGAAAAATTGGGGATGGTTATTTGTCTTAAAAATACAGTGTGAATTTATATATAATTCGTATTATGAATTTTTTTACATTAAGAGCATTTTATACACTTCAGGAATGATTTAATTTTCAAACTTTTGACTCATAATTCCCTTAAGATAACACTGAACCATGCTTTGGATGGTTTGGTTGGAGAACATAAGGGGCTTTTTTCTCTCAGTAATTTCTAACCTTTAGCCCTGATTCTTCATAGAAAAATGAGTTAACATGCATGCTGAGGTCCTTTCAATTCATTATGTTTCTGCTGCAGAGTCAAAACTAGGGTGCTGTAAAATTCAATTTTATTGCAGAGGATTTCTCAAAAAATGATTAAAAAGAGAAAACTAATAAAAGAAAGACAGCTTCCTTAATAAATGGAGCTGGGGAAACTGGCTCTCCACATGCAAAACTGAATATAAATCTCTGTCTCTTACTATGCACTCAAATAAAATCAAAATGAATCAAAAAACTAAATGTTAAAACAGAAATGCTTCACCTTAATCTTGAAGTCTAACGCACAGGCAAGAACTTTCTGGACAGAACATCAGTTGCACAGAAAATATTACTGAGAATCAACAAATGGAATTATATTAAATCAAAAACCTGCACAGAAAAAAAAAAAACCAGCAGAGTGAGAAGAAAACCTACAGAATGGAGGAAAAAATCTTTGATAGCTGTTTCTCACACAGAAAACTAATATCTCGAACATATAAAGAAGTAAAAAAATTGTAACCCCCCAAATAAACAGATACTTCACAAAAATACTACAAATGGCCAATAAATACGTAAAGAAATGCTCGACATTGCTGGCCATTCAAGAAATATAAATGAAACAATACTGAGATTTTTATCCTATCCCAGAAAGAATGGTCATCATCAAGAATTCAAATAATAACAAATATTGGCAATAATGTGGGGAAAAAGTAACCCTTCTACATTCCTCAGAAAACTGGGACCAGAAATTCCATTTGCCCAGTTATTCCCCTTTTAGGTTATTCTTCCTCCAAAAGTAAAAGATACATTATAGCGACACATGCACACCCATGTTTATAGCAGCACAATTCATAACAGTTAAACCTTTGAGCAGCTCATATGTCCATCAACAGATGACTAGATGGATAAAGAAAATGTGGTATTCACACACAATGGAGTACTACTCTGCCATAAAGATAAAATTGAATGCAAAAACTGATGCACTTTGAGAACATAATGTTAAGTGAAGTAAATTAGAGAGACAGGCTTAAATATTGCATGGTTTCTCTTATATAAGCAACCTAAGATGTAAATAAAGAGCAAGATAAAGGATAGGTAATAGGAAGTAGGAACACAGATCTTTTTCAAAGGAAAAAGAGGATCAAGAGACAGAGGGAGGGAGAAGGAGGGGAGGGAAGAGGATGAAAAAAGGAATTAACATGTGTTCTGTGCATCTACCACCTTCCCACAAGGGATGTAAACATTATGCACTGCATAAATGTACTAAAAATGAATAAATTAAAAATGTGTATGTCTACAGAGAGAACTTACTTGGCCAGATCCTCAATCTGCTCCTTAATATTGGTCATGGGCAGGATTGACTTGGTGACCTCACACACGTATGTGCAGAAGTCAGGGTCAGGGGGAGGGTACCACTCTTTTTCAGGGATGCCTTCTCCAATCAGCTTTGGTGTTGCCAGAGTCTCTTCCTCCTCTTTCACTTTCTCCTCTTCCTTTTTCCCTCTGGCTTTCCTTGGGCGTCAAAAACAACAATCAAAATCATATCTTCTGATAACCAATTGAGGAAACGCTAACAATGCTCTGAGTAAATCTGAAGAGAATCATGGGAATACGGTAGTTTATACTTCAACAATCATACTACTCATAGAGTTGAAATATTCATTTATAGAATCTATATTATGCTAGAGAAATTAATTTTTAAAATAACACTATGTTATTGATCTACCTTATGAATATTATGTATTGGGCTTCTGCACCATTGCCTACCAAGACATCTGACACAGGAGTCATAAAATAAGTACTTATTGAATTGAAAAAGTAATATGCCTTCTATAAGAGTCTAAATCAGTATAAGGAGGTGTGATAAAAATATATGGCGAGGCCTCGGACTGCCGACACTGGACCCTCTCCTCCACAGGAACATCAGGGCCACCCCCAGCATAACCTAGCCACCTGGGACTGCTGCTCTGGGCCCATCCCTCGGCTGTGAACACCTGGGGCACACACAGCATGACTGAGCCACCTCGGACTGCCACCATGAGCCCATCCCTTGGGGAACCCACCCACTTACTGAACCTAGTACTGCAGTTGATCTTTGGATCCAATGCCTTCTTCCAGAACCTTGGGCTATAGTGAATTACCGTGCTGGCTGGATGGGAGACTCAGGAACCCCTCACCCAAACAGAAGACCTCAACAGGCTCCAGTCAGTGTGGCGAGTTTGCCCCTAAAATAGAGGTCTGCAGTGGGTAAACAGGAGTGGAAGTGAAACTCCCTCCAACTGTAGGACCTTGACAAACCTGGCAAGAGAGTGGGTAATCCCCTCCTCCAAAGAGAGAACATCAGGAGTGTTGCCAATAAGGCCTCTACCAACTTGGAGAAAATTTAAAAAGCTTATGAGATCCCCCGTGACACAGTAGTGCCTCAGCTGACACAAATACTACAGACAGATCTGTTGACCTGCAACAACTGAAGACATAGCAACAGCAGAAGTAAGAGCTGACCTACATCAATACTTCTAGGCCAGTTATACCAGAAAGAATATAGGACTCACACAACAGGCCCTGTAGGAGGAATTCAGGTGGCTGGCTCTCCTCTACACTGTGGTACCCACCAATTGGACAAACATAAACCACAAGGTAGGACCCTAAAACTCACATTATGGATAGTTGAGACTGTTGGGATTGAAAGACCAAACATTTACCCAAAAGGTGAAAGTGACAAAATGAAAAGGCAAAATGCCATCTCAAACATCTAGTCCATCAGGAGCAAGCACAGGTGACATTGAAATAGAGGGCTTTAAAAGTCACACACCAGGAATCTCTGAATAGATAGCAAATGAAGTAAAGAAACAAATCCATGAGGCTATAGAGGAAATCAAATTAGAAATAATGTCTTACATAAAGACAGAAATAACAACCTTAGGAAATAAGCTGCTCAACATAACTAGAAAAGAAATAGATAAAAAATACAGGAGCATGGGAAATTGATTGAAATTTTGAGTGAACAATGCAGAAAACAAGCAGAATCCAAGAAACAAACTCAAAGAGATATCCAAGTAACAAAAAAACTCCATTGAAAGCTGGCAAAATTGTTTAAACGCAGCTGAGGATAGAATTTCAGACCTTGAAGACAGGATCATAGCGATCATGAAAGGGTAGAACTTATAAAAACAACAAAGCAGCATGAAATGACAAGCCAGCAGCTTCAAGATGATGCCAAGAGAAATAATATAAGACTAATAGGCATTAGTGAAGTGGCAGGAGTCAATGCAAATGACATAACTAAACTATTCACAGAAGTAATAGCAGAAAATTTTCCACACATGGGGAAAAAATCTGATAGACAAATAAGTGAGGCATACAGAACACCAAACAGTCACAATCACTATAAATCTACACCCAGACATATAATAATTAAGATCCCAGACATACAGCATAAAAACAGAATGCTAAAAGCATTTAGAAAAAAGACACAGCTCACCTATCAAGGAAAGCTTATTAGAATCACAGCAGACTTTTCAGCACAAACCCTTAAGACAAGCTTGGAGTGAAGTATTTCAAGCCCTAAAAGGAAACAACTTTCAACCCAGACTGATATACCCAGAAAAACTGTCTTTTGAATTTAATGGAAAAACAAGATACTTTCATGACAAAGAACAACTAACAGAATTCATGTCCACCAAGCCAACCCTAGAAAGAGTACTGAACGAGATGTTAGATAGAGATAAAAATGACCACAATCTCCAGAACAACAACAGAAAGAAACCACCAGGCTGTACAAGAAAATAAACAAGGGGGAAAAGCAGGAAACCAACAACAGGAACACAACATGGCAAAGTCAAGCCACAACATATCAGTGGTATCCATAAATGTAAATGGACTCAATTCACCTATCGAAAGAAACAGGTTGACAGAATGGATCAAGAAACAGGATCCCACAATATGCTGTATACAAGAAACACACCTCATAGATTAAAACTCATAGATTAAAAGTCAAAGGGTGGAAAACAGTATTCCATGTGACAGGAACCCAGAAAAAAACAGGGGTAGCTATTCTGTTTACAGATAAAGTGAACTTCAAACCTAACAGAATTAAAGGAGATAAAGAAGGCCACTGTAGTACGTGTATATGTATGTATGTATGTATGTATACTTGTAAGTGGAAAACTATAAGAGGAAGAATTAACAATTATAAAAATATATGCACCAAATACAGAAGCACCCAACTATCTAAGATAAGTCCTAATGGACATGAAAAACCAAATACACAAGAACACAATTGTAATAGAAGACCTTAGCACCCCACTGTCACAAAGAGATAGATCAACTAGACAAAAAGTCAGCAAAGAAATAACAGAACTGAATCATACCTGTGATTCAGAATGGACTTAGTGGATGTTTACAGAGTGTTCTGCCCAACCACATCAAATATACATTCTTTTCAGCTGCACATGGGACATTCTCCAAAATAGACTATATTAACCCGTAAAGCATTCTTAACTAAATGCAAAGGGAGCAAAATTATCCCATGCATAATATCTGATCATAGTGCACTAAAATTGGAAATCATTGACCAAAAATCCCTGCAAAACCTGCATAAATACACAGAAACTAAACAACAACCTTCTGAATAACCAGTGGGTTACAGATGAAATTAAAGAAGAAATAAAACAATACCTACAATACAATGAAAAATGTAGATACAACATACTGTAACCTATAGGATGCAATGAAAGCATTCGTAAGAGGGAAACACATAGTCATTTCATTTCATATGTCACAATAAATAGTCACATAAAGAAAATAGAATGAACACAAATAAATAACCTAATGCTACATCTCAAGCTTCTAGAAAAGGAAGAGCAAGTCAAACACAAAGCTCATAGAAGAGATGAAACTATAAAGATTAGAGCAGAAATTAATGCAATTGAAACTAAAAAATAATACAAAGAATTAAAGAATCAAAGAACTGGTTTTACCTTATCAAGAAAAAGAAAGAAAAAACTCAAATTCATGCAATAAGGACTGGAAAGAAGGAAATTACTACAGATCCCATGGAAATTCAAAAGATCATGAGCACCTACTTTGAAACTCTCTAATCAAATAAAGTGGAAAACACAGAGGAAATTGTCAGATTTCTAGGGACATATGAACTACCAAAGCTCAATCAACAAGATATAGCAATTTTAAATAACCCAATATCAGCTACTGAAATAAAAAATGTGATTAAAAACTTAACCAACAAAGAAAAGCCCAGGTCCTGATGGATTCACAGCTGAATTCTATAAGAAATTTAGAGATTTAATGCCAATACTCCTTAAACTCTTCAATGAAATTGAAAGAGAAGCAGTCCTCTTTAACTCATTCTTGGAGGCAAGTATCACTCTAATATCAAAAACCAGAGAAAGACCCAGCCAAAAAGGAGAACTATAGACCAATCTCACTAACAAACATTGATGCACAGATTCTCAATAAAATACTGGCAAATAGAATGCAGCAAATTATCAAGAAGATTATACACCACAGCCAAGTGGGATTTATTCCAGGAATGCAGGGATGGTTCAACATATGCAAATCAATAAATGTAATACACCACATCGACAGAGCCAAAAATAAAAATCACATTATCATCTCACTAGATGCAGAAAAAGCTTTTGATAAAGTCCAACACCTTTTCATGATAAAAACTTTACAGAAACTTGGAATAGATGGTATGTACCTCAATCTCATAAAGGCTATCTATAACAACCAACAGCCAAAATTATACTAAATGAAAAAGCTGAAAGCTTTCACTTTAAAATCAGGAACAAGGCAAGGATGTCCACTATCACCACTCCCTACTCAATACAGTTTTGGAAATATTAGCCAAAGCAGTCAGAGAAGAGGGAGAAATAAAATAGGAAATGAATAAAAATAGGAAATGAAGAAGTAAAATCATCATTATTTGCAGATGACATGATATTCTACATAGAAGACCCCAAAAACTCCATTAAAAGACTGCTAGAGTTAAATTCAGCAGCATAGCTGGATGCAAAGTCAACACTCAAAAATCAATAGCATTCCTGTACACCAACAAAAACTCCATGAGAGAGAAATTATGGAAATATCATCTTTCACAATAGCATCTAAAAAATGAAATACCTAGGAATCAATCTAACCAAGAATGTAAAAGATCTATATATTGAAAATTATACTACTCTAAAAAAGGAGATTGAAAAGAATATTAGAAAATGGGAGAATATTTCTTGCTGTTGGTTAGGAAGAACATTGTGAAAATGGCCATACTCCCAAAACTGTTATACAGGTTCAATGCAATCCCCATCAAAATACCATTAACACACCTTACAGATCTAGAGAAAATATTCCTAAAATTCATCTGGAAATAGAAGAAACATAGAATAGCAAAGGAAATTCTGGGAAACAAAGGCAAGACAAGAGACATCTCGATTCCTGATTTGAAACTCTACTAAAAAGTCAAGTGATAAAGTCTGCATGGTACTGGCAAAGAAATA